CATCCATCCCAACACTGTCCGGCAAGACTGACTAAGTTAGAAATGACCACTGACTAGTGACTAGCTTTCAGTCGGAGCGACTTTTGCCAGAGCGAATCTTTTCGGAGTCGGCCAGAGCCGCAAAGCCCCAAATCGTTCGAACAAGGACCGTCCTCTGTGATGGAGGCTCACCATTGATGAGACCGTCCTCTCTGGAAAAGCCAGGGAGTGACAGAGCGGGGACAGCATAACGACCTCTTCTTCTTCCGTCTCTCAAATGATGCAGATGGCCTCGAGGTAAACGCTGCATGGCTGGCAGAGCTGGGGAGCTGTGCATTCCTTGCCAGGTCTGACATGGCGTGGTGCTGCAAAGGCACAGTGTGGCCTTCCGGGTGTGGCGAAACCACAAACCCTTGCGGCAGTGGCTCTCCAGAAACGAACCATTTGCCCTGAGAGTGGTCCAAACTCATCGGCACAGCGACGGCCGTAGTGACGGCAGTGACTTCCGGCAACTCTTGGCACTCTGGCATCCCAGAATCTGTCCCAGCAGAGTACTGGTTGGCCATGTCAAGTGGAGCTACTGTTGAACTATGTACAGTTTGGCTTTGAAATTGGCTGCGGTCGGGTCAACACCCCTGCGAGAAATCCAATGGGAACACCATCGTAAACCACGTCAAAAGAACTATCCAAAGCCAACCCGCTTCTGTTGGCGAATCCATTACTTCACGTGCGCGCTGCTCCAAGTGAACTGGCTCTCTTTCCACATCGGGACCCTTTCTTATGTAGCTAGAAGCTACTAGTAACAAGGGCATCGCTACTAGTAACAAGGGCATTACTACTAGTATATAGCTAGAAGCTACTAGCAACAAAAGAGTCGAGGGATTGCAATCCACACCAAGTCTTTGGCGGTCCCATGGAGCTTCCAGCGGTATCCTGTCAATCCTGGCGGACGCAAACGGGAGAAAGCGCTTAGGTTCACACATCCGATGCGCACCTCTGTGCTCCAGACATGCAAGCTACAAAGCAGCTCGTTCTGAATGTTTTTTGGCTCGTTCGGCCTGACTGGCCTGACCTCTTCGTGCTACAATTCGTGCTGGCCCCATGTCCAGTGTTCCTTTTGCCAATCTACCCGCAAAAGAATAATCAAACTAACTTTCAACTCGCCAAGTGACCAGTTGAAAGCAGCATGTGGATGCATGTCCCGTTCATTCCAACGCTATGTAAGTTGTCTGTCCAGCTGTACCTCCTGTAAATGGTCCAAAATGCTGCAATGATGCCGTCTCCTGCCTTCCTGATCCAAAAAAGGCGTGTTCTCATGCGGACAAACGTACCGTTTGACCGTTTGTGGCATTTTCGTCACTGCAGATCACTTGGGCACAGTAAGGCATCACGGCTGCTGGGCAAGTCACCTGCCACTATGTTTCAATATGGCCAGAAAATGGAACACATGGAATGAATGTTCACTTTGCAGTTTTTCAGGCATGTGTGCCTGGCTGGAACCGCCTTCCTGATGACCACCAGGCCTTCGTGCACAAAGGCCCCAAAGATAGGCAAAATACAGCAACGAGTCTTATGCTGAGGAGAGCGCGAAGGCCAAGGCCTCAAGGGATGAAAGAAACATGCAAAGCACGGCATTGCTCCAGTGATGCTGTGGCGCCCCAGCCATGGCCCCGAAGTGTATTTGCATCTCAAGGTACCCTGAAGTGCCAAGGCCTGCACATGATGTGCAAAGTTAATCTCAAGTATGTAATGCTAGAGGAGTATCAAAGGAGAGAACAATCCGCCTGTGTAGAGTGAGCCTTGGTCAGTTCGACTCTGATCAAGCTCCACAGTGACTGTGCAAACAAACTTTAGGTCCTAAGACAAGTGACTCGCTCCAAGTGAGTCCATGCCACTAGCTTGCAGGCTGTGCAGGCTGCAAACTCGTCCGCCTGTCGCGCTGCTGTTGCGTTAAGTCTTTTCCAAACATGACTGATGACTCAGGACATGCACAGCTAACTCCAACCAGACTCACAGCCAACCAAAGTTCTGGTTCAACGCCTTCAGAGCTAGCGCTAGCAAACCAGAAGCATGTCACCGGGAAGCTCAGAGCCAACATGAGCACCAAGAAAACCTCAAATGCCGAATCTTGTGAGTCGCCAAATTGCCAACTGCCGGTTGTGGTTCATGCGATGACCGTGTTGCTAGCGGGAAATGGGATCCAAAAGCGGTAGATCCCATCATCCACTTGCTCCACTTGCCCCCAGAGAAGGGGTGCTCTTCCATCTTCAGAATCCAAGTCTGCGACTTTTATGGCTTCCAAACAGCCATCACTACCTGTGTGAGCATGTTGTTTGTTCCGATAGTTCCATCTCTTTGGTCTTTTTGAATGTTCCAACATGTTCTAATGATATCGCGTCTCATCTAGTCCTGTGTCGCAAGCAAGCACTCAATAATGTATAGTTTCCTCGTTTTAGTCCGGGGAAGGCCGTGAAGACTGGGGAGGCTAGTAGAAAGGGAAGTAGCAAGAAAGCTTCCAGTAGCTGGATGCAAAAAAAATGGGTTTTTCAAGGACACATCTCCCGCCAAGAGCGGCAGAAGTGTCCAGATCAAATCCGCCCACACCGCTTGTCGGTGCAGGGCGTGCTATTGGGGCTCTTGCCGTCGATCTCTGCACTTTAGCAAAAACATCCTATGCATATAGCTCTGCTAGGTTTTTGTTTTTTCGCGCGTGCGTGGCAGGGGATGATTTTTCATTACGCCGTGCTTGCAGAGCCACTGGTGAGAGCGCTTTGGAGGAGTTTTTGTGCTTTGGGGTGGTTGCTGCGTTAGTTCTTGCTCGGCTGCAGGGCCACTGGGGACAGCGTTTTGGAGGTGTATTTTTGGATGGCTTTTGGCAATGCCGAAGTTGTATCACCATTATGGGCCCCAAGGTGGATGAAGTTGGCCCCAAGATGGCTCCAACGCAGCCGTAAGACAGCCAACCTGGCGCCTAGATGGCTGCACTTGTCCCCCACTTGGAGCCAAAATAGTTCGCAGAAGCTCACTTAAAATCCTGGTCCTGCTGGGGGAGGGCCGAACAGAATCTGACAGATAGCTTCAATGCCGACGCTGTCTCACCCAAGCTGATCCCAAATAGCGTCATTATGGGCCCCAAGGCAGACGAAGTTGGGTCCAACGCAGCGTAAGACAGCCAACCTGGCGCCTAGATGGCAGACATGGTCCCATGGGAAACACTTTTACTCCCTCTTTCTTTTCGCATCTGACCCTCCTTCACTTCTGACTTAGGAATCACAAACCTCCTTTATTACAGCATCACCCCGTGAAGCTCCATTTCACTAACTTCGGATGTTTGTGCGCGGTGTGGGCGGCTGTCGACGCGAAGCGTCTTGAATTAAGACATAAAGTTGTCTTGAGAATTGAGCCATAGAGCTCTTAAGCTGTGTAAGTATAGTCAGTCGAAATGACACGCATCGAGATTCACACCTCTATACCGCCACAAGCATCCAAGCACGAAGAGGGCCGGCAGAAGGCCAGTGACACCTCTGTCCAAATGGAAAGGACATGTTCAAAAAGGTCTGGCAAGACCACATCAACTTTACTGGTTGACACATGTTATCCAGCTTTGACAGCTTAGCTCTTGGCGAGCTCTAGACTCTAGACACATCCGAGAAAAAAGAATTACAGTTCAACGGTCTTCACCTCTTAAAGTTCAAGGACTGTTTGGACCCAAAGCACATTCCACCCCTGCCTGCAATCCATGACTCATTCGTGAAGGGTTCTGTAGCAGTTCCGCAGTATGTCATTTCCAGAGCATGAACATGTCTGTCGCTTCATTTGTCACATGAACGGATTTGTTCTCCACACAAATGCTACAACAATCCCTTGCAAGCATAGTTCGGAGTGCACAAAGCAAAGCAACTCAACTCTTTTTTTGGCAATCCCTCCTGGTCTTGCTGGAGCAGGAACAGGCACCTGGCGCACGAGTCGTTCTTTCTTGCAAGGACCGAAGCCCGAAGAAGCGGCTGCGAAATAACTCTACACTAACTACAGCATAAGTTTCTCAATCCTTTATATAATTATATTATAAGTATCACTACAGTGCAAGTTTTGCTTGCATTGCAGTCTTTGCCATGACCCACCTCTAGAACAGGGGCCATCAATCCAGCACGGAAGCAGCCAAAACTTGGTAGTCTGTGCAGATAAGTTGACCAAGTGACCATGTCGAGCGGCTTGCTTCTTGTCTTCAAGATTTGAAATACCAGTGTATATATATATATAATGTGCAGTGTGCTGTCACTTTCGATTCTCACCTATCATGAGTGCAACTCGAGTGAATTGTGCTCTAAAGTAGCAGCTTGTGGAGTTCGACCCATTTTATGAGAGCCTGTATTCTCGAGCGTCGATTGTACAGTTCCTTTCTTCAATTTCTGCCGTAAACCTGTGAAGGTTCCAGCCCTGGATTCGGGCGCACCGGTCTCAATCAAGTGTTCATCTCACGTCCTTTCTTGGCTTGTCCTTGGTGTCTTTGTCATGAGCTGCCCAGAGCCATCAGCCCAAGTAGCTGGGTTCAGTGACCCAACCGGCAATGGCACACGAACAGCACATGGGTCCTACCTGTACAACTAGTTGAGATGCAGTCCACCCTCAAAATATTGATAGCTTGACAGAATTGGTTGTATCGGATATGATTGTCATGCAAGGGCTGTTGGACCACATCCATCGTTGTTCCAAGAAGGCATGCACCACTAATTATCATGGTCAAAGCGGTTGTTTTCTTGTTTGTTGATGCTATGGCTGTTTCATGTCTTGTTTCACATCCATGCAGTCAGGATATGGGGCAATGGGAAATCCATTCAGTGCCTTTCCGTTCATGGGGATGAAGCATTGGCCTTTTTGTAGAAGGAACACAATGTGAAACGGCCTTGTGTTTAGATTTCAGCTGGTTATATGCTGCAAGTCTTGATATGTTTATCTTGATAAGTGGTGCTAAACTCCTGAATGAAGTGCGTATGTGGGATGGGTGAAACATGCCCTCCCGGTCACTTGCTCTGTTGAAGGCGCGTCCAAGTGACCTGCAAGGACAAAGGCAGCAAGTATACGCAAACTGTTTGTGGCTCTTGAGATTCCATACCCATATCAATCTTTACCTATGTTTGACACTAAGCCAAACGCAGTCCTTTTCTTTTTCATCTTCAGGGTGACCCTGCGAAGGAATCTGCCAGTCTTCCTTTCATTGGTATGTTAAATATGTTGTTTCTAGGAGTTCAACTGCTTGTCAGCAAGTATGCTTGTCAGGTTGATGCCAATAGCAAGCAGTGGCCTTTTCCCAGCGCTCACACGGTGTTTTGACTCATCAGGCACCTGGCAGGTAAGAGTTGCATAAAAGAAAATTGCTGAGCATGCGTATGCAAAAAATACTGACAACTCTATTTAGTACTTTGTTTTTTGAGTTTATCATATTTTGGTGTGATCTTTGTATGCCTGAGTCCGGCACAATTTCACCCTCCAATTGGCGAAGGCTCAGTGCATACTCCTTGCATGAGACTTTGTTGACTTTCAAACCCAACACTCAAGAACGGCCAAGACTTGCACCCTTCCAAAAACGAGACCAACAAGAGGTCCTTTGAGTCTTTGCTTATGCGCAGCTCGGCTGATCTAGCCTCAAATTGGACCTCAATTGAGGAATCAAAACATTGACACATGGTTGACATCATTGCAGCAACCTTCACATCGCCGTCTTTGGCCGCTTCAATGGCCTCTCAGGGGATCGTTTTGTTTACTTTATATTCTATTATTCCTTCGTCTTCAGACCCCTAAACCCTTTTATCTGTTTTCCTTGTTCTTCGTGTTTTCTTTTTTCTTTTCAACACTCTGCTGTGTGTTCTCGTGACACGCCTCTGGTTCTCCCTCGGCTGACACGTAGATGCAAACGAAGTCACCCTGATGACCACTCGAACGACGCTTCCGGTGACTTCAGGTGACTTCAGGGCCTCGTCAGCCCAGGAGTAGTGGGTCAACGCTTTTGCAGCTTTTTCTGCCTTGAGAACACGGTCAGCATCTTTGCAACTTTGGAAGGCAAAGAGCAAAACAAGTCCCAGACCTTCAAAGCATCACCTGTGAGCAGCGGTCGGCAGGCTTCGTAGGGCTGCTTCAAAAGCACGCGCTTCAAGAAACACATCATGTTTGCAGGCAAAGTTGATCTAGATCTCCAAACACGAAAGGGATGTTTCCACAGAACCTTTTGGTATCATCTGAAACTGGAATCACTTTGTGAATTATCGGCCGGCAAAAAGTGGAGGAGGCCTTTACTCTCTTTAAGGAAGAACGGCAAGAGAGAGAGAGAGGGAGAGAGAGCGACAGAGAGACAGAGAGACAGAGAGACAGAGAGACAGAGAGACAAAGAGACAGAGGGACAGACGGACAGAGGGACAGACGGACAGACGGACAGACGGACAGACAGCCAGCCAGCCTGCCTGCCTGCCTGACTGACTGACTGACTGACTGACAAACAGACAGACAGACAGACAGACTGACTGACTGACTGACTGACTCAGTGAGAGAGTCCATAACGAGAGTGTGACCCATCAGATGTCCCCTCAGTTTGTACGTGTGATGTATGCCCGGACTCAGACTTCACTGGAGGGAGAGTGAAGTCATAAGCAGGAAGAGAGGCAGTTGAAAGGCTGGTCATTGACCAAAGGAAACTGGAACCAATTCGGCTGAAAGTAGAAATCAACACAACTGATCACGAATTCAATTACTAATTACACAAAACATCAACAAATCAAGATAAACACGCACTCAGAACATCAAAATGCTGAAAATTGTTCCGCTGCGGAAAAGTGAAAGTGAATAATGGTATTTTGCACGCGGGCTGCCATTGACCACTATGAATTGGTATCAGTTGAGTTCAAACATTGTCGACACGACCAAACACAAAACAAAACAAATCATCAAATCAAGATCAAAACCAAGCCAAGTGCTGCAAAAAGTCCCATTGTTCCATGGCCGCAATGTGAATGTGAAAGTGGCGTTGCGCAAGCAGGAAGGGGAAAAAGGACACTAGTGCAAAGGAGAAAGAACAAAAACAGGAAATCCGTTACAAACAAACATGCAACAGCAATCAAGGAGAGGGGGAGAGGGGGGAGCAACAACACCCAAATGCGACAGTACAAATGTTAGGAACTCACGTGCAAGTTGTAAAGAACAGGGCTGAAAAGACTCACAACGATCATGTTGCCAGTTCATGGTGTCATTTGCCAAACCTGAGGTGGTTGGAAGTGAAACCAACTCCAAGCAGCGAAACTGCATCAAAACACATCAAACTCAGCCTGGCTGCAGCAACTTGAAGTGCCAAATTCGAAGGCAAGAAGGAACCCACGAACCCGAATGCACACACGCACTCCAAAACAAACGGCCAAACATTGTTTGACACTCTTGTGGGATACTCTTGAGTTGGAAAACAAAACGTGAAAAAAACTGAGACTTTAACTGCGCTTCGCTGTTCCATGAGCCCGCTTCGTCCTTCTGCGGTCATCGTCTCGGTCGCTCCGTGAATGAATAATGCAGACGTGAAACAAACAGTCACCATGTGTTGTCTTGTTTGACCTATTTCCTTCGGCTCGACCGACGGCTGCTCGAAAGTCCAAAAAAGTCCTCCGTGCCTAGCGGACTCATATCATTCCTTCGATGAAGGTGTCTTGAGACACGGCACCGGAACTCGTGCCCAATCATGTCTGCTAAAGGCGTTTAGCCACATGCGATGCTGCCCGTCAGGCTAAAAGCTGTTGCCAATTAGGCTGAGAATCTGAAAGGAAGAGAGGCAAAAAGGAGACAGAGAAAGAGAGAAAGAGACAGAGACAAAGGCAAAGAGAGCACAAGAGAGAGAGAGAGAGAGAGTTGATAACGAACAATCACACGGGACGGGAAGTGCTTCAGCCTGTGTGGCCACCGTTTCTCAAAAGGGACCTTATATTAATGATCCTTGCTGATGAATAGCGATGCACGAGCCAACCGCCACATGTCGACTTCCAGTTGGCCTTCGGTGTTCGATTCCAACTTGATGGGATCTCCACCATAAACATATCGAAGCTCAGGGGGAAGCTCCTCCAAGCTGAGGCAAACTCATACAGGTAGCCCTGTTCCTCCTGCTCCTCTTGTTCTCACCTTTCTTGTTGTGAAAAGGAAGTTCAGAGTTTGCAAAGCAAGTTCTCCCGCGCCTTTTCATTGGCATGAGCATAGTAGTAGCCTGGGCATTGCCATTCACGCAAACAGTTTCAATTTTTCAAGACAACGGCTAGTCTGACAAAGTGCAGTTGAGCTTCTATTGCCCCCGTTATTGCGGATGGATTCTCTCAGGAAGGAGTTTTCAGGGCGAACCTGCTGGGAAGTAAAGTTGGCACGTTCAGAATATCATGTCCGAACAGCAAGAAAACTCAAGAAACGTGATTCTCTCCTCCATTGCATCCACCTTCACAGTCACACAAGCTCCATCCTGGTGATTGACATCAGATTCCGCGTTCGGTGACGCATCAAATTCCCAAATACAGCAAGTGTCGATTTCTCGTGAAATGTATCAGGCTAGACGAAGGAGAAGTCCTCAACTCCTTGCTCTGCAAGGCCCTGCTTCTCTTCCAAGACCTTCTTCACCGAGTTTCGAGACCTTGCAAATCCACAAACGCAGGCTGCGCTACGGGGTTCCAACAATTCAAAGGGGATTTGAAGCGCACACGTCTTCTGAACTTCAAAAATTGTCCTTCCTATCAGGACGCTATTAGTTGGAGGCCGCAAGTAGGTCGGATGCCATCGCTACTTGTAACAAGAAGCTACTAGCAACAAAATGTCATGTCCTTTCCAATACAAACTGTTCTCGGGTCTCGAACCCATTCTGGTAGCTCAGAGCCAACGGCGTCTCTGCCGTCAGACCCAGGGGTTCCCTGAGCTGCTCCTTCAACTCCTGGCAGGCCCAGAAACTGCAAGGCCACAAAACCAAGGCCGCACGTGAAGGTAATTGGGAGCATACATTCGTCCGTCGCTTCTTGCAAGTCATACATCAACAAGCAAATTGGGAAATGATATAAGTATATTTGAGCAAGTTCAATTGGTCACTTCCACCATGCTGAAACCTCAAGGTGCACCCGTGTCTGCTCCATGGATCTTGTACCCTACATGTATACATGCGACCGAATCCTGAGCGACTTGATGTAGCGACCGCTGTTGGCTCCAATTGAAACATGAGGCTGGTGCAGGCCAATTTCCTCGCTTGTGATGTTGAAATCTTGGTCCTGGTCTTTGTCATTGTCTGGAGCCAATCTCTTGCCCAGTAGCAGTGTTAAAAAGCCGTCAGCCAACTCTTCCTCGCTTCCCTCGATGCTGGGAGCACCTCCAGCCTCGTCCTCACCCCACATCCCCAAACAAATATTTTATACAACCATATATATATATATACAATGTATACAAACACACACACACACATATATATATATATATGTAATCTACATACAACGGCAAACACAATCATATCGTTCGTCAAGTCCTGCGAACCACGAACTCTCTGGCCTCGCCAGTCAGCCCTGCAGGAAACGACCGTTTCTGCTGCCCATTTTTGCATAAGAATGTCCTTGGAATTGTAGTAGCTCGGCATATGTTGGTCCAACTGAAAGCCGTACGTGCAATCGTTCGAACTCAAAATGATTTCTGTTCAAACGATTGTGAACAAGGCCACACGATGTCCTGCATTGAGCGGCTCAATTTGAGCCTAAGGATTGACTTGGGAACGTTTGCTGGGGTGCCAGGCAAGGACAACTCACCAGGTTTCTCCTGATGACAGCATAGTCTAGTGGCAAGACTTTCAGACATGCGTGTGTTGAACATAGTGATCTCACAACAAAATCATGGAAGCGGCAGAAACTCAAGAGTCGTCAAACCACAAAAGTCCTCTGCAGTCGCCATGCTGGGCACGGGGGGCCAAAAGTGGGCGCCAAGGATCAAGCTTGAGACTATCAACGCCACAGTGGCATGTTATATGAGTGCTATCAATAAATGGAAAAGGACACTGAAAGGACAACTTGAGGCCAGCAGGGTGAACCAAAGCTATTAGCAAGGACCCTATGCTCGGTGGAGGCCATCGCAAGTAGGTTGGAGGCCATCGCTACTAGGAACAAGAAGCTACTAGTTGCTTCTTGTTACTACAGGTCCTGGTGAAACGATTCCCAAGGAAGCTTCTAGTTACTCGTAGAAAGAAAAAAAGAGGCGAGACCTCGAAACACATGATTTGAGGCAAGTGAGGAGGTTTTACCACTGGACGTGGTGGAAGTTCGCCAATGAAGTGGCAGGTTCTTACTGCATTTGGCTGGTGGTGAGGTGCTATATTAGCTAGGGTCTAGAGGGTCTAGGGATGGTAGTGCTGAGTGCATTTGCATTGCAGGTGAAGTAGTGCATCTTCATTGCACCGCTGGCAAATGAACCGCTTTGCCTGAGGTGAAATGTCGGTTGTTCTTTTTCTGGCGAAATGGTATTTGTGCTCCCGGCTACTGTCGGCGAATGCGGACGTGCCGCCATCGTCGGTGTTTGCCGGACTGTCCATGTTTGTGTGTGTGTATGCGTCTGTGTGAGTATGGCCCCAGCAATGCCAACAAGGTTCTGACAAAGTGACTGACAAAGTAGGACCCACAGGTAGAGGCGATCACTATTCGCAAGGGAAGAATAGGTCAGCTCATGACAGCGATGAAGCAGTACACTGGACAAGAACAACTCCGAAGGCTCAAAGGAGGACGGCTGGGTCCCTTTTCCATCGGACGCCGTGCAACGGACGCCGTCACCTCGGAGATCTAAAACTGTTCGTCGTGGGCCGAAGTGACAAGGAAGATGTTTCAATGCTTCCTCTACTGTCGGCTCTGCCTGGTATGGTGCTTAAGGAGGGGAATTAATGAATATGAATGAATACTTTATAGTAGTACTAGACAAAAAAAGGGCTTCTATTGGTGATTAACTGTCATTAGCCCTTACAAGCATTAGACTCGTTGTCAAGTTGTCTTATCTCTGGGCTCCCGCACCGGTGCCACGGCAGCCCCTCCGCTGCTTTCGGCAGAGTTGGCGGCTGAGCTCTCCCACTTGCTTATGGAGCCTGGAGACACAACGAAGTTGAGAGTTGGAAGGGGCGGCCAAAGGCCAGAATCTATTGTAAGTGCGGAGTGCGTCTATGCAATTGCATTTCTCCCCCGGGCTGTCTTATGCTTGCGTGTATCCTTGATCCATGACTTCCAACTCAAGCTGTATCTGCAGGCACCTTTGCAACATAAGCATGTAGATATTGCAATCCTGGAGCGGCAAAGCATTCTCTGCAGTTGAGGCAAAAAATGGCTTCAAGACACTCGCTCAAAAAGCCCGCTCTGCTTCACAGCAATGAAATCGCAGTCATTGGTCGCGAAAAAAGCTTCTTTTCAATGCCTTGCGGAATTTGGCAGGTTGTTGTCGCAACCTAGTTTTCTACACTTGAATTAGGCCGACCACTACAGCGCGCTGGCACTATTTGTGGCCTCATCCTGGGATCAAACGTATCTGGCTGTTCGGCAAAATGTACGGAACCAGCTTGAGGATGGGGAAACGATCTGGGTAAGCCAGTTTCCTGGCGATCTGCGCATGCTTGGTCTCAACGGCATTTAATTGCAAACTCTTCCATTCGCGGCGCTTGTCTAAAAGCATCCGCACCACAGCCTGCAGGCACATGGATGTATCCACGGCCAAATTGGCCCTACAGACTGAGTCGCGGATCTGATTGTCCCAATGCTCCAACAATGACACCTTTCCTTGTGAAATTGCACAAACTGAATTGGACTGAGCGGGCAACATCTTCGCCTTTTCTTTTTCTGCCAGGGGTGGATGCGACTCGGCTTCTTGCACCAAAAACGCTGCCATCAACACAGCGCACTGTGCTTTCAATGATGGTGCGTAGATGAGCATCTCAAAGTCAAGTAACATCAGATCAGCAATGAACGATGCCGTTTTCCCCACGTCATCAACCATTGACAACCTGGCATAGACGATATAGCATTGCAAGAACCATTGAATAGTAGGATGGTGAAGCTTGAAATTGAGCTTGGGAAGCATCTCCTTCTCACATGTAAGCAACTGCGAAGAAGTGACTGACTTTCCGAGGCCTACGGCGGCATCTGCATACTCCACTGCATTTTCTTGCTTGTAGTACTCCTTGCTTTGTTCTGCAAAGCAATCTGCAATCTTGAGGCAAGTTGTCGCAACCACCTTGATGTGGTCTGGCACGACAGGCCTCTGCTGTAGAGTCAGGTACTTGTCGAAGATTGCACAAGCCAAATGGGCAGTGCCACTCCTCAAGAACAGCTTGGTCGTCAAAGCAATGATAAAATCCACATGAGCTGCACGGGCATTTGCATCGAACTGAGGGGGCAGTGACCAATCCTCCAAAGTCCAGGAGGTTTTCTCCTGTTCGAGCATGACATTCAAGATGTCCCACACCATTTGTGAGTTCATCAAGCTGGACGGTATGGCTACAGGAGGCAATTCAGGGCTATCTGGAAGAACTGGCACTGCATTTCTCTCACGCAATGAAGGCATCCTGCCTGTCCATGGTGATCCACCAAGCTGCGGTTGTCGCCCGGTCAGCCACCGCTCTGTCATAGGGTCTATGGGCTGCTGTGAATGCAGCCTTCTTCGGTCAAAAAAGGGCAACTGTAAGATGTCTTCACATGTTGCTCTTGATGAGGGTGGGATGGTCACCGAGAGGTCGAGCAAAACCATGCCCTCCACACCTACCACTCTGGCCATCTGAGTTAGGTGCTGCAGGAAGTCCTCTCGATCTGGTTGTGCCTGCTGCAACAAGAGCTCCTGATCCTGTTGACTTCTCAAACATGCAGCTCGAGTGACTTGTGGAAAGCTAAAGCCATCGTACAAGGGGAACTTTGGAGAGAAGTTCTTCGCTGTGACAGCCTCCGGCCAATTTCTCAGAGTTGGGGTGCCCAAAAGGCGAAAGATCCTGAAAAGGTGGTCGATCTCTGAATCTGATTGAAAAAGCGTCCGTCCAGTCGAGGCTTCAACAAACAAGCACCCGACAGACCATGTGTCCACTTTTGGACCATAGATCTCCTGTCGCAAAATCATCTCAGGACACCGGTACCACAAGCGTCGCATTTCGCGACCTGACCGATCTCTCTCCTTTGGATCTTCTGGAGTGTAAGCCTGGAAGGGAACGTCAAGCATTCTTGTCGTGGTGAAATCACCAATCTTCACAGTTCCCCACTGGTCGATGTAGATGTTGTCTGGCTTCAAGTTGCGGTGCATGAGGCCTTTGTGATGCAAGAAGTGGAGCCCTGTGAGCATCTGCATGAAATTCTCTCGAACTTCTGCCATGCGCTGGGCAGGCAATTTGATTTCTAGCCTTTTGAACCAAGTACTCCAACTCTCATGCACAAATTCTGTGCACGTGACTGCACGCTTGTCCAGGATCTCGGCTCCAAAGTGCCTGACCACATTTGGATGCCGAAGCTCTGAAAGCAAAGCCGCCTCTCGGATGAAGGATGTGGGTACCCCATCATCCTTTCCTGCATTTGTGAGCTCCAAATCCACGACGCGCAGAAGGACCACATCTTCTGAGCCAAGCCGACGGCACTTGAAAATACGGCCTTTCGACCGTCTTTCAACAAGCTTCTCAATGACCACAAACTGATCCACAAGCCGAAGATGATGGGCCGCAAGGGACCAAAGCTCCTTCCCTTGTGCCACTTCCCTCCATTGCTTGCACACAGGTGCCGCCTTTGTGACAATATCCGCGGCACCCAGCCGCCTGAAGACCTCAAGCCACAAGCTGAAGCAAGGAGCTTCTGTACGGGGAGTTCGAAAAGTTCTAGAGCATTCATCTTTCGAAAGCTTCAAGGGAGATTCCTCGGAATGGCTCTGCTTGCGGCGTTTGGTTGGTGAAAGAGCCATGCAATTGAAGCTGAATCTCGGCTGCAAGGGCCTCCTTTGGCAGATCGGTGTCTGCCGCCCTGGATGCGGAGTCATGCTCTCTTCATCATCCCCTATGTTGGGACTGATGTTCTCCCCGAGGATGAAGCTACTTGGAGTCTGCTGCAAGGTCATAGCACCCTCTCGGAGCTTCTTGTGCTCCGGCTCTCTGAACTCCAACCACTCGGAATGTTGCAAAAATCACAATATGCTGCCCCTTCTTTTGAGCCTATACTGAGCAGGTAATGTCATGACACACATGCCCTTGCACTCTGCAACATTCAAAGCAGCTCAAGTAGATTCTAAACATGTCTTCAAGCAGGTCCTCTCGACTCTAGACATGTTTTGGGCTTGTCTCATCCATGTCTTCGTGCTCACACAAGCTGGTCAAGCCGGGCGTCCGAACGCTTTCTGCTCGCTGCAGTGCCTTCAGTGCCAAAACACTAATGCCTGGCACTGCAAGGCCTGGTGGTATCGATCGGAAGATCTCAACTGCCTGGCCATGAGCTCACCAGGTGCAGTAAGCGCCGAGCTTTCTGGTCCGGCTTAATATCTTTATTCGAATAAGTAATAGCATTCATACTGTTGAAACATGAACAAAAAATACAGTCCTTGACCTGTTGAGAGATGTCTGGCAAAAACAGACTGGAACAGGGATCATACAGTACATTGGCTTGCATTTGATTTACACTGAGCAAAAGCACTCGAATAAGGTGGTTCTCTACAAAATGTCCATGAAATTCACTGTGGCATCACAATGACAAGTCAAGTGCTTTGCGGCCTTGATGGGCAAGTCGTTCTCGTTCAAGAGCCTTCCGCAGATGTGAGCCTTGCAAAGGCTAGGCATGTCTTTACGGGCCCGTTCTTGTACCAACACACAGCATTGTATGTGACATTGATAATGTGACATTGATAATACGTTCATACCATCTTCAAAGATCATATCGTGAAGTTGTCCATTTCCTGCACAAGGTGGCTCCAGATTGGGAAAGCTAAAGTGCCTGCAGTAATCCTGCAAATATCTGTGGTTATGTAAGCACAGTATGGATTGCCAGTGATCAAGGAAAGAACGTGGAGTTGTTGTTGAGTCGTTGTTGGGGTGCGAATACAGGCGACCTTGTTGGTGTCGTTGTTTGCAAGAGTGTTGACAAGTGCGGCAGCGAAAGTTCGCAAGGTCTTGAGTATTTTGAGTCAAGCCAACGTAGAAAATTCCACAAGGATCTCTGCCCACAGTATGATTTGTGCTTGCAAGAGGTGCACTTTAGTGCACTTCGCACTTAGATGGAATTGAGACATGTAGGAGACAGCTCCAGCTGCTCCTTTCCGGGAAACGATTCCTTTCGCACATTGATTTGAGTCCATGTGGGTTGATTTGGCCTGGACAGCAGGTATACATGCCCAAAGAAAAGCAATAGCAAACATACCACACAGTCACAAGCAATTCATCCCCTAACAATGTGAGGCTGGTTTGTGGAAGAAGTCCGGTGTGGAATGTAGGGAATGTCGTTCATCCTTCATTTGTATCACCACTGTAAAACTCGGAGCCAGTTTAGACGATCGATTAACATCTCACTTCCACTGTGTTTGATCTGAACATAAAGACGCGAGCAGCCTCCATCTTTTTGGACTGCTCAGGGCGTGGGGTCGAGCAGGTTTGGATCTGTCATTTGAAAGTCTGCCCAAAGATCAAGATCGACCCACTGATCTAGTAGTCTGGCCAATTAACCAAAAAGATGAGACAAAGGTTGACACAAGGTTGAGACACCAACCACTAGAATCAATTTCGATCGATCAATCTAAGATCATGACCCAGGCCCCCTCCCACAGAGTCTTCACGATCGAACAAACCTAACGAGAGTGCCTGAGCGCCGGAGGCCAAACGGGCTCGATCGTCGTCCAACCCGCTCGAGCGCCGCGCTCAAGATCACCTCTCGAAGGCCAGTCTGCAGGATTAGCGTCTGTCGATATTCTATCGATAAAAACTCTGACCCTCAACTCAAGAGCTAACTCCCAAAAGACCGACACGAGCTTGCACACATCGGTCTTACTGGAGTAACCCTTGATCAGGGCACCTTCCACTGATTCAGAATCGATGAGCAAAATTAGATCTGAATTACGAACCCGGTCCTTAAAAGTGAACAAAGCAACAATTGGAACAACCATCTCGACCGGGACTATTTGGGTCTGTCGAACCAACCAGGTCTCTTTCAGAGCGGCCGGCACGATCGCTGTGAACTGTCGTGGCGCGAGGAGCCTCCGGTCGAAAATTACCGCCTCTCTGGGGTCCGGTGTGAAGCCGTCCGTGAAGATGACAGCATCCGCTTGCTTCTTCACCTGCAGATCGATGGGTCGAGGCGGACCAGACTCCACTAGCGATCGCCATTGACTTAGAGACTCCACGAGAGCATCATCAAGATTAAAACTCTCGGAAGGAGGAAACCTAGCATACTGCCTTTCGGAGATCACCCTAAGGAACGCCCGTCCGACCTTACCCCAGAGTTGTGAGGCGCCGAACATTAATTTACCTTTGAGCTTTCCTGCCGAGCCCGGATCCAAAAGCCCGACTCTCAGGATGGCATCGATTTCTTCTAAAAGTTCGATCCTACGTTCGGCTTTGATCAAAAGGACGAAGCGTTCGAGATCATAGGTGACTCCTAAAATAGTAGGATCCCTACACAGTTGGAGCTTCTTTTGATCAAACTTCGCTCCCAACCATAGGTGAACACACTCCGCAACAAGACGAGCACTCGTCACCGTTTCGAGCGGTTCAAACCCATATTTATCATCATAGAAGCTAAAAGCAACAAGTTTGAACAACGAAACCAGGATCTCGTTTAGAGCAGCGGATCTACGGTTATAGTTGTAGACCGCCGATACGAGTCCGAAAGAGTGTCCAATCATGATGAAAAAGTTGGGAACACCGCTACTTGGATCTTTCAAACAAATCACGGAAAACTTCCTATGATCCGGGCGGATTGCGACCTGCCTGTAGGCCTTCCGCTCGTCGAGCACCCACCCGCCTAACTCCTTCCATGGAGCTGCCGATCTCAGGGCCCGGATGGCGGACACGTTCACATCAGTCGAAGGCAGTTGGAGCTTCTCCGTGATGACCGTGATCTGGTTGATCAAATTGGTCGTGGCGCTGTCACATCCACGGACCTTGTTCTTTTGCACTACCTCAAATCGCTGGGTTGGGATCCAATCATCAGAGCCGAGCTCGCTAGTGACTTCAGCTTCAGAACGAAATGGACCAATTGACGATCCTTCTTGCACATCCTCGATCGTTGCATCCCATATCTTTTGCAGATTCTCTGTCACTGGAACTGATGCTACCCGGCTCACGATCTTCTTCCGAATCTCCCAGGCCCGATCTAAAGCATGTTGAACTGGCAGTGCTTTCTGTGGCTTCTCAAAGGGTGGCCACCGACCGGTGGAGGCAATGTCGCCCACTATGGGGAAACCATGAAGAAGGAAATCCGGCAGCCGTTGATCAACGGAGTGCACTGCCGCGAGCATCGCCCGATAGAGCTCAATGTGACACAACCGGCCCAGAAGGGGAGGCTCGTGATCCTCTGCGCCACGAAGCAACTTCCGCAGGTGGGGGTCCGGGAGAGCACGAAGAACTCGATCGGACTCAGGCAGAAGGCGATGGGCCTCTGCTTCCCAGAACATCAGCTGCTGGACTCGCTCGTGTTGAACACGCTGGGGATCTTGCATGACAGCTGTAATTGCGTTCTGGAGCTCGTTTGGCAGAGCGGACAACTCAGTGAACGGATGCGGGATCTCCAAGGACCACTTGATAGCCGCACCCGGCTCAAGCTCTTGTTGGATCAAAGGTTTGAGAGCCCCTCGCTTCATCTGATAACCAGCATGTTGAGCCAGTAATGCAGATCCTGCTTGTCGATGGACTGGCTTGGTGTTGACCAGACCCAAAGGACGTTTCCGCTCGGATGCTGCGAGAGAAAGACGAAAAGAGGGCTCCAGGTGATCCAGGTTCTGCTGATGAAGCCGCAGGATGATCTCAGCCAGGCGAGTGCACATAGGCTCAGGGTACACCTGAGCTTGTTTGGTCTTGAACACCCATCGGTTGATCTTGTTGTTCCAGACCTTGCCTTTGAGCACCTCATGGTGATGGTTACCAGGGCAATGCACGCGCATCGCACCAAAGAGCTCAGAGGAGACCAGCAGACGTGTAGGCTTCATGGAGGGAGCACCGAATGCGCACTGGTCGAAGTCAACTTCGATCGCACGACACGCTTGCTGGAGCTCGCAGCAGGGCGGAGTGGCCCACAACAAGCTTTGCAAGGGGTTCTCGATCGAGAAGTCTCCACCCAAATGGAACACGATCAAACACAATTCCACGGATCGCAAAAGGAACAAATTGCCCAGCAGAACCAGCGCTTCATTGTCTGATGAGAGCTGTGCAAGGCCGATAGGCTCCTGCGCCGAGCGTAGCGGCGGAGGACCGCCATCCAGTTTGCGAGCTGCAGAAAATGTGTTGCATGGAGTGCCACAGTGTGTGAAAAAGATCCCTCCAAGTTGAGCTACCTTGATGATGAACTCCCAAAAATCGGCATCCAGGACATCACTAGCCACTGGGACCAGCTGCGAGACCGAAATGTCGATCGGTGGCAGACAGGGCAGGCCGCTGGCCCGTGCGGCCTGTGTGAGACAGGCTGTACCGGCAAACACCTCCAGGAAAAAGGGTCCCTGTTGAGCAACCAACCGCGGATCCCGCGGCACGTCGTCCCACGAGGACCATCCCGGATGCGCAGCTTTGGGCGGCCTCAAAGCTGTCTCCTCACTGAACGACCCCGGAGGCGGAGACAAAGACTCCGGGGTGGCCGAACGTCTTCAGTGATTCACAGATGTTTGTTCTTGCGTTGATCACCAAAACGACAGCCGAGGGAGCAGTTGTAAAAAGGACAACGACGAGGGCCCGAGTACTTGAAAGAGGTGATCTTGGACCATTCCTTGGCCGGAACTCGCTCGTCACGGGCGGCCGTGCGAGGTTGGTTGGAGCTCGTGGCCTGAGTTTTGGCCTGCTTGAGCAAGGTCTTGGCCCTTTCTCTACGAGCTTTGTTCTTCCTGGCCTTGGCTGATTTAGTCCCTGATGGAGGAGACGTGGATCGCTGTCTCTTCATCGGCGGAGTCTTGGGAGCTTCCGCTTGATGCGCCTGCTTGAAGCGATCGAGTTCAGCGCTAGAGCGGGCATCGTTCCACAGCTGTTTGTGATGGTTGAGGACCTCCAACAATGCTGAGGAGTAGGTGGTGAACTTCTTGCGCTGATCTGAGCTCAAGCGATGAACCTTCTTGCGAATGAGCGAGTCAACTGTGAGCAACAGGGCCAAACCTCGATTTTCATGTCTCCATTCCTCGAGATCCGAGAGATATTGGAGAGGGCCCGCTGCGATAGAGAAATCACAGATGTTCAAATACTCGAGCGTGACGAAAAACGCATGGAGCTTATCCATCACTTGTTGTTCCGAAGCTGCTGGTGATGGTTGATCGATTGCCACCACCTTGAGAAGATCCTCAGCATTCTTGCTCAGGCCTGACTTCTGCGCGATCGACTCATCTCTTGTCCGAATCTCACCTACCTCATAGAACTTCACCGAGCCGTGTACGAGGAAATCTCGTTGCACTCGTTCCACGAACTTGCGATGCGGTTCACTGTGGTGGGGGAGCAGGACATCTGGGCGTCGACCTACAAAAATCTCTCGAAACTCTGCATGATCATCCCCCGGGATTTCCGGAATCTTGGAGGGGTCCTCTTCCATTCGTGCACGACGAGCTGCAAAATGATCCTGCATGGTGGAACAAGTCTTCCAAACCGCCGCCAGGGAGGTCAGTGCGAGTTCCTGAGCAGGACCATCCGGCCCCAGATCTGTGGCATCAGGGATCAAAGCCTGCAGGGTTGTCTTAACTGCGGCTATGTTGTCTCCGAGCATAGCGAAAGTCTCGACTGTGAGCAATCGCCGATCGGCCACTAACCGACATAGGTCGGTCGGGAGCCTTTGTCTGCCGAAGACTTGCCGTAATGGCAGATCCGGGGTACGTGCTGAGTCGTACGTAGTTCGATCGACCATGGCTTCTCGCTAAAAGATCAGGTTGGAAAAATTCGAGCTTAAATATGTGGATAGATTATTGAAAGAGAGTCATGACCAGACGACGCACTCCCTTCGTCCTAGTGACACGGCCCGGCGCTGACCCGCCCTCTCCTAACGTTTTCCTGAGCAGAGAAAAAGACAGGGTCATGCTGGGCTGGCTTTCTGAAAAGCCAGAGTGATGTCCGGCCGAGCCTTTGCGCAAGCTTTGCACAAGACTGACAAATCCGGGAGCTCCGAACCAATCGCAGAGCACTCGGAGAGAGGCAGCTTTCCACACGCGATCGCGGACGGGTCGTCTAAAGCTGAGCAATGGAAACGATATTCATACGAGCCGGAACCAGAGGCGGTCTTGATGAAAAACTGTGCTTGAGCCTCTTCAATGACTCCGGCGTCGTCCAGCTCAGTATCGACCGTCTCACCGACTGGGCGCTCTTCAGCTACCAGCTCATGAACAAGCTGCTGAATCATACGAGCCGGTACACTAGATCGGTTCCGAGTGTATTTAAGAACAAGGGGGCCCGGGTTCTTCCAGTTAGCCTGCAGACCAATCTCTTCGGTGGACCTACCAGCATGAACAGCAGCATCCAAGAGGGTGACGCGTGCAGAGTGTGCAGTGAGCTGATTGATCACTCGAGCACACATGCGCCACTCGTCGGACTCGCGCTCCCCTTGGAACTTTTCGAGGGCTTCCCGGGCAAGGACCTTCAACCACTGAACCGATCGTTGATGTGTTGGGGGAACAAACAGAAACACCGAACGACTGTTGAGTTCTGGAACCCAAAAATCACGATCTTGTTCCTCTTGCCTGAACAGGTCCCATCCAACCCGGAGCCAGTCAGCTTTCCGAAACCCGACGTGAGGAATGGCAAAGCGAGTTCCTCGCCGCTTGCGATCGACTTTTGTTTGCCACGCCAGACCAAATAACCCAGTATCTTGCATACTGAGGTCTTTCGGTTTGACGTGTTTTCCGTCGTCGAAACGCAGCGAAGCGAAAATCAGGCAGAGCCACCACCAAACGAAAATTCTTGTGGCTTCGGGCCAGTCTGGATCGCAGACGAGTTCCTCCATACACCCAACTACGGTAGTAGGGACGGGGACCGCCTCACGGAGGGTCTCAGCCCGTTTTGTGATCACCTCTTGTTGTAGAGCTAAGATAGAAGGATCGTCAATGGAAGGGCACTCAATGACCAACCGTGCACAAACCCACTTAATGGCCGAGCGAAGGGTGGGAATCACAGTGGGACCGCACTCTTGACCATCAAGAAAAATCATGTACTTCACCACCTTGGGGGTTGACAAGGGGAACACCGGGATCTTAACAGAAGAGAGCCACGTTTCCATGCGTTCCCACACCCTCACGTACATCGCCATCGTTCGCGGCGCGCCGGCGGTAAGAACGAGCTGCCGGAGCTTCTCGTTCTCAGCTGGGGACAACCCCTCACCTGTCGAAGGATCCTCCCAAAGGCGAGCGAATGATCCAGCTCTCCTGCTAATCTGTTCAAGCCGTGCCGCCCACTTATGGCGTTCGGCGTTCTCTTGATCCAGCAGTGGGGAGCTCGACGACTGAGGTTCTGGCTGACCTGAGGCCCTGCGGGTTTCTGAAAAAGATCCTGGATTGCAGCTGCCCGCTTCATCCGAGCGGTTTCTGGTGAAGACGCCATGCAGTGCCCTCATCGGATCACATTGTCCGAATCCGAGTTGATGAGCAGTCGATTCGAAAAAGCTTCGCTCGACCGACGAGGCGATCGACCAGAACTGCTCCAGTTGAATTGGATCCCTCAAAAGCTCCTCGGCCACCTCTGGTTCCAGGGTGGTCGCCCACTCCGCAACCTTCGAAACGAACTCTGCGGGCGCTCCCACCTCCATGGAGGCCACGAGGGCCAGGTTTCCGAACGGACTCTGAGCAATCGCCTGAGCAAAAGCATCAGTGAACACTGGAAACGAAAGGATCTTTCTGGCCCATCTCTCTAGGTGTTTTTGAGCCATGATTGCGACTCAGCAAACAAAACCTAACGATCGTACATGCCGTAAACGCAGATGACGATTCACTCCGACGATCTCCAATGGAAAAATGCGTGTCGATCGACTGCAAGCAAAATCAAATGAATGAACACTCGACCGACTGGATTAGTGGATCCCTGCTCAATGGACCAAAGTGGACTGAACCTAATTGAACTAGAGCTCAGTCTCAACACTTTGATCGACCGAGCTGGGATCCCGCAGCGGGCTGGGTGCATTTACCTGCAGTCGGCCGGAACGTCGCCATTCGTTCTTGTTAGACAATTCTTTGATACGATCGATACGCTCGAACATGAATGGCCAAGTCGGGGTGACCGCACCCCAGAATCAAAACCTGAACGAGCCTCAAGACCTCGAAGAGAAACAGCATCATGCCTAAGGCTAGAGCTGACTCAACAAGACCCAGAGCTCGCTGCAGGCAATGCGCACTTTAGCCAACGAGCGTCGTCAGTTGGTATTGACTGAATTGATCAATTAAGACTTCCAAAAGAAAAGGGAAGATCACACATCCACGACGTTAGGACCCATTCCAGGCCCATACGAACGCGGGGCAGCCGTGGTGATCCTCACGGTCGGATCTCCGCACGCCGCCTCAAGAGATGCATACTCCTCTACCGACAGGGTCGTCGTGGAGCGCAGCGGGTCATAATGACCTGCCATCGCCCGTTCGACTCCACTGACAAAAGCCTGTGGGGTGACCGCTGCTTCGGCAATCCGCTCATTGTTCCGAGCGTCGAGGGAGCGTCTCATCACATGAACTGCACCTCCTGACGGCGCTCACTCCCGGAGCTTCCCCCGGTTGTGTGATCGACACATGGGCGTCCTGCAGGCCTGAGATCTGGCTGGCGACCCCCGCTGATCCCACCAAGGCACGAACACTGCCCGCCTCTTTGGAGACAGGCTGGGCGGATGGCCCTCCCGTCACTGGCGGCAAGATCATCGTGGCTCTCTCCAGATCTGGATCATGGAATTGAAGCGCCAGTGCATCCACCGGGACCATGACCTTCTCCTGCTTGAACAAGGGCGACTCACAGATCAAGTGCAAGTTCTGCAGGTGCGACTCGACAGCGATCGCTCCTACCCTCGGCCCGCAGTCAGCCAAGGAGTTGGCCTGCATCGCCGCTGTCCAATGTGCGTGGATCCCCGCCAGCTGTGAGAGCTGCATGATCTGATCCGGCCCCTCGATGCGAGCGTATCGACGACGACACCACTCAGCGTTCTTCACCAAAGTAGGACCCGACACTCTTGAGACCATGAGCCAGCTTGCAGGAGCCGAGATCGTAGAACACGTCAGATCGAGCTTGTCTCCAGCCGAAACGAATCGCATTTCCAAACGATCCGCGTCCCAGCCGAACGCGTCGGCGGATGCCACTGCCACCATACGAATCTCAAAGTGGCACAGTGGGAAATCCAAGGCGATGACGATCCCTCTGAACAAGAAGGCTGTTCAGGGAGCACATTTGACCACTGGATCGTCCGGCTGACCCCCAGGGTGCGAGCCACAAGCAGCTGAACCCACCTCAGGTATGATTGGCATACCATCAGGAGTCAACTCTGTGATCACAGGTCCAGGTGTGACCTTAGTCCAGGAGGAAGTTGATCCTGTGGTGGATCCCACCATGCTCGCGCTCTCATCAGGCATGACCGCTTCTGATGCCCTCAGGTGGGCAATGGCGAGCTGCCTTTGCATCGCTCTTGGAACTGGAGGAGGAGCTTTGCGAGGAGCCGCCTTTGGGGGAGCAGCCTTGGAGGGAGTCTCTTGGGAAGTCGACATGGCGCCACAGTGGATCCCAGGCCCTGACAAAAAGCTTGAACAGGACACCAAGCTAAAAATGATGGGAACCACTGGTGCCTGTTGACTTGAGTCAAAATGGCCACCAGGGGTCAACAGTTGTGAACACAGTGGACTAAACCTTTCCTAGTTACACACCTGTTCCAGACCTACCTTGCCGACAACAGGTGCACACATCGCACAGGTAACACTAAAGCACTAAACATCAACCTGAAGCACTAAAGTGGAGCGCTTCGCTAAGGCTTGAACATCTTGCGCTGCCAGAGTCAAGAGATGCTCCTTTAGCCTCGGAAAAAGAAGAGGTTGCCCCTATGATAAAGTAAACAAAAATGTGAGGCACAAGCTGTGCACAATCACACACTGGTAAACAAGTATGCTAGGGATAACAAGTTCTTGCATGTCTAAGTTGTGGAGCGTAGCGTGCTGCATAAACGTACAATTCATACATGTCCCCACCAGCACCGCTAGTGAAAGTTGTTGCTTCCCCAAAAAAGTGATTGCATGCAGATGCCGAATGAAGAGAAAATTGCACAACGGTTTGCATGAACAACTTTGTGTCATTTCCCCTTTTGGGCGTTCGGCATCTGCAAAAACTTGCAAACCGGACACTGAACAGAGGATTGGAAAACTCAAAGGTCTTTTGAAAGTCAACTTTGCAAGGATCTAAGGACTAATTCTCTTGCAATTGTTTAATCAGACGTAAAACGTTGCCGAGTCACACTCTCCAAGAAACAAAACAGTAAAGCCTAGCCACAACAAATTTACACATGTCGAGTATTAGCTCTCAATGCCTATCTATGATTGTTGTGTACTTAGATGCCACCTCTCCGGCTCACACTATGATGAAGCATATAAAGTGCCACATCGGTGTAGGTGAGGGACATCAAATCGGACTACTGTATCATTTGATGTAAGATGGAGGTGTCCGGGATATCTGCAGCTTCTACGGTGGATGAGTGATCAGTCGATGAGTGTATCCGATCTGGTGTGTAAACTACCAGGGAATGTTATGAGGACAGCTGACGTCGTGGAGGTGCAAAAGAAAAACTAGCACACAACAACGGATTCAACTTGAAGTGTTCAGATTCTTGAGCAAACCTTATCTCAACAGAATGGTGTTTCAAGTTTGCCCATCAGTAGGGTACTGTAACATGAATGCTGTTCTGACTCTATGGTCAAAGTTATCACTGGGCAGCATAATGAATAAGCGGCTTGGTTGACACCAACATAATGCTCTTGAGCAAGGAAAAAACATCCTCTCAATGCATTTGGCGCAATGAGAAGTGCGAACCTCCGCACTGCAACATTTTGATGTGCCCATGAGAACACTAAGCTTTTGACTCGAAGGCATCTCCTTGTGCCTTTCGCAGGGCAACTGCATGCGGAGAGTGTTGAAATATGTTGAAATGTATGAGTTTGCAATTGAAATCTATGTCACGCTGCATGTCTGACAATGGAAATCATGGCGCGCAGAAAACGGCCTTTGACATCCAGCGGTATCCACCCAGGCTGGGGCGGCGAAGTCTGAACGGTCCACGGTCCAGAATCTGGCCCTCCATTCTTCGAGGCCTGACCGCCCTCCTCCGTTGGGGTGGTCATATCTTGGCATGTTCCGTATCAGGCGTCCGTATCTTAAGAGTCATGTTCGCCTGGGCATACATACATTGGCACTGGTGCGCTTCTTGAATCGGCGAAGCGATCACGAAGAAGGGAACCGGATGGTCCCTTTTGAACCTTTGACTCCGTCATCCAAAGGTTGTCAACTCTATGGTCACAGATTCGATCGGGCGCCGCTCTCTTCGTGAAAGTGCCCGGCGCAAGGCAAAGCAAAGAAAACCTAGCAAGAGAACACCTAGAAGACCCACAAGAAAGGCATCCGCACTCTCAGCTGCGTGTTGCTCGGACAGCAAATCAAAGTCTTTGCAGCAGCAACCCAAACGGCACTGATGATTCGCACATCTCGCATTAAATAGAAGGCCCCGCTCCATGTCTTCCCACACACCACCGGGCACGTCATGGGGACATTCGGGCCAGCAGTGTTCAATGTCATTTACCATTCCCAGACCCATATGTTGAGGTCGGTAGTTGTGGATCTGCTGAGATCCAGTTCCGGATCTGAGCATGCATCTCGAGATCCATGTTTGGCAGGTCGAGACCTTCACCATGCAGTTCTCATCAACTTCTGAACGAGGAATTCCCACATTTGTTTTGAAGCACAGAAAGGAAGTGTCGCCAAGTGTGCTATGGTCAAAGGGAACTGTAATGTCCATGCAAAGGCCATGCCCACGTCGGAGCACCCAAACATGCTTAAACCTTCGACGGGGACCCAGGACATACTTCGCTGTAGCGACGTAGCGGTCATAGGTTTGAAGGTTCTGAATCGACTTGAAGCGGGATTCAACCCAATGGATACTTCCATTCACATGTTCCAGGGGACGCTCTGGATAATTCAGGTCCTCATCTAACCAATGCAGAAGGAGGTTCTCCATAGCAGAATACTCTGGCTGCTCATCCAAATTCAGACTTGCCGGATCTGAATTCATGGAGTGCAGGAACTCATGCCAGAAATGGAAAAAGGAAAGACAGAAAGAGTCCACTCGCGCTAAAAGTGTTGCGTCGTTGATTGCGCCCGTCTCGAAATCTTCGAACAGCACCAAGGAAGGAGTGCTGTCTTTCACCCACTGCCGTACATTCGAGCCATGCAGTGGCAGAAAATCCTCATCGAAGAATAGAATCCAATCCGGTCTCTGGTGAAGGTCAAGGTCTCGCATACCTTGCGAAACACCTGTGTCACCTTCCACTTCTTGGAAGGCCTCCATGACACGCATTCTTGCACAAGACATGAAGGACTGCTGCGACCTCTCCGAACACAAAGGAATGCCCTTGAGCTCTACAACTCGAACAGGGAGACCCCACGAATCTCCAGCACATCCCCATGCAGCCTGCCATGACTCAGAGGCAGTGCCAAAGGAGAAGCTCAGCAAAAGGATATCAGCGCTGGTGTGTGGCTTGCGGTTCAGCTTCAAGTAAAAGCACAAAATGCAAGGGTTGTTCTGTAGATCTGGGAGCGCTTTGTCGATCATCGCATCAATTTCACGACGCCAGACATGCGACACCGCAGCAAATAGAAAATGGAAGGAATCGAGTTTGACAAAAGAGAAAAGGCTGCAGATTGCGAAAACAAAATGGTCTGGTTTGATTCCCGCATGGCTGAGGCAATCTCAAGCCTTTTGCTTTGAGCGGAAGGAAAAGCGCTGTGATTGCCAAACTCCTGGTTTTGCTTGGACACCATTTGGAATCAATGGCAGAACCGATCACAGCGTTCCGAACTGCGGCCGTTCTGAACTGCATTCCGAACCTTCCCTTCCAACTCCAGAGCTTTGGAAAGCCCCTGCTGCAGCAGCAGATCGAAGGCCTGGCAGCTTTCCGAAAGGTTCGGAGTTTAAGGGAATCTTCTCTCTCTATACATATACATATATACATATGAAAGAGAGGAACATTTTCACGTGAATGTGGCACATTGATAGAAATCTGGCAACCATGCAAATCCACCCAGCCTCTCGGGTGTGACCCAACCTCTCACAGAGCCACAGGAACACGTTCACACAAGCTCCATCCATACATGCTCAGTAGGGCGGGGGCTATGTTGGTGGTGTTCATTGTCGCGACTACAAAAATCACTGAGTTGTCACTGTTCTCTGGGCAAAGTCTGCAGAAGAAAGATCATGTGAAAGCAGGCTTTGGATGAGGGCAAACGGCCATTCCTTCCACTTTACTGTTGTGGAAACCTCAAAATACACATCTCTCGTTGATGGTATTGTCGAGTAAAAAAATATTGTATTGAAGTGGGGTGTATATCTATATATAGTAATTTGGATGCTTGCTAGCACCTGGGATACACAACTCTGCCCCAGCTGTCAAGAATGTTCACGGTGATTACTTTGTCATCATTGCTGCTGATTTGTGATCACAACTTCTTTGCCTTTATGCAGCAATGACTACACAGCTCAGCATCGAACATGTGCCCCAATATGTTTAATGATGTATCTATGCTTTAACAAAGTACATCAAAATGTTGCACTCTACACATGCATGAGGAGCGTGTGCTGCCGTGGCCGCGAGAGGCAACCCAAGACTGAAACCAAGAGCAACGTACAACGTACAACGGGGACAGGACTGAGAGGGCATGCGAAAGCAGCCAATGGCCCAACGATGCTCAATGGCAGAGAAAAACAGCCCATTTCTCCGGGAATGCGCATGCTTCTGGCATGTCAATACTCTCCAAGTATATTGGTGCAGTAATGATGCTAACAGTGCATTTGTGTGCCAAATGCATCATCGAAATCACGGAACATGGACACTACGTGATAGAATTCTATTACTATAAATCTCAGCGGATATGCCTTAAGTCGCATTGAACAATCAACAATGGTGCATGTTTCCTGAGGCCCCATGCGCTGCCACTGCAACAGCTGAAGCATCAAGCGCGCCTGCTGCCCAGCTGACCTGGGGACAACTGCCAGTGTATCAAAAAGTACCTGGAATGTCAACGATCTAGAATCATCCCTGCAAGTCTTGAATAGGGATGCTAAAAGTGAAACATCTCGGATGCCAAGCGAATCTTGAATTTCGTTGGCAAAAGTCTTTCTGAACAGATTCGGACCAAGCCTCCAAGGCTTCCTGTGCACCAACTGCTTGCTCCTGACATATTGTCGCTCAAGGCTGCAAGTACGGCCAATCCAATGGTTGCTTAACTCGGCTTTGCAAACTGTTTTGCAAAGCCAGATGATTGCCATGCTGACGACTCTTCTGCTTTTGATCGGGCTCAAGCCTGCAAAAGCTTGTCTAGCAGCGACCTCACAAGCGAATGCTACAAGAAATCAATGTGCCGGAACAGGTTCAACAAATCTTCGAGAGACTGAAACAGCACATGGGGCACACACGCAAGGCGGTGGGGCTGCAAGGCTGCCTAAGTTGCAGCTGGCCAATCTGACGCTGATTCAAGAGAAGCGCAAAGCATTGAAAAACCTGCTTTCTTGCGATCCATCCCTCAATACGCCAGGACACCATCAATTCCACCAGCCGTCCCAAGTTTGCGACATCGGGAGCGGTCTCTGACAGGATCCTGCATGAAAACGAGAAACCCCCATCACTCGTTTGAGAAAACATCCACTATGACCATGATTATAACCACTACCCGTTACTACGTACTACTCCCCACTGGCTACCACTTCCTTTCCTTTCCTTTTCGTTGCGTTACTTTACCTTACCTTCCTTACCATTTCTACTTTTACTTCAACTACAGCTACAACTCGACCCACTGTTACTGCCGCCACCACCACCACCACGACTACTACGACTGCGACGATGTATTATACAACGACTACGGCTACAACTACAACTAGAACCGCTGCTACTGCTACCGCCACAACCACCACCACCGCCACCACCACCACGACAACGACGACAATTACTACTACCACCAATTGCACCCAATGACTACAAAGTACTACAAACTAGCATCTACTGATCAACTCCAACTATGCTTTCACCTTCTTTTTCCTGCTTCTCCTACTTCCTTCTACTTCCTCCTGCTTCCTCCTACCTCAATGGGTTCTGGGATGCCAACCATAAATTCTAGGTTTCTTGTTTTCGGAAGACATCACACCGGACAAACGGCGCAGCTTTCAAGGAGTCCTTTCAACGGCGGACTGCTGCCAGAACAGGTATCATGAGACACTGATAGGAAACCCCGTCAAACTGATAGGAAACCCCGTCAGCCAGTATGCTGGAGTGAATGTTCCCTTAACAAGTGTTCAACCGTACTTTGCTCACATGATGCAGTCATGGAGACCGGGAAGCATTTGTCAGAACATGGGAAGCAAACAAACAGCAAATGCAGTATTGTGGCACCACTCAAACGACAGGGAAAGATTTGGCTGTTGGGGCAGGATATTTCCTCCTCCCCCTACTTCCCTCTTCCTTTCTCTCCGGCTTTTTCCTACTACCTCCTACTTCCTAGGTTATACAAGGGGTCCGTATAGGCCATAAGGGGCCAGTAGGCGTAGCTTCTAGGTCTAAGCTCTATGGCAGGGCGCACTAGGAGGCCCTATCATAGCCAGCGCAAACCGGTGGCGATGGTGGTGGAGATGAAGGTGATGACGATGGTGGTGGTGATGATGAAGGTGGCGGTGCTAAAGGTGGTGACAGCAGTGGTGATGGTGGTGACGATGGTGGTGGTCGCTGTGAAGGTAGTTGCGGTGGTGGTGATGATGGTGGTGATGGTGGCGATGAAGGTGGCGATGGGGCCAGCAGCAGCAGCAGCAGCACCACCACCATCACCACCATCACCACCACCACCACCGTCACCACCATCACCACCACCACCATCACCACCATCATCATCACCACCACCACCACGACGACCACGACGACTACGACCACAACCACGACCACGACCACAACCACCACCACGACCACCACCACGACCACCACCACGACCACGACCACGACCACGACGACTACGACTACGACTATGTCTACGACTACAACTACGACTACGACGACTGTGCTGGACCTGTCACAATAGACTAAGAGACACTGAAGGGGCGGCAACTTGCGTCCTTTTAAAGCTGTTGCAAACTAAAGAATGCAGCTTTCGCGCCTCAAATATCGCAGCTCCCAACACTCTCCAAGCGGCACCAGTGCTGCAAGCACATCCGCAGGTGGGAAAGTGCTAGGAAACTCAGCCTGGACGCTGGACATCACTGTTTCATTGACCCAGGCAATCTTCGGAGCTAAGGTGCTGAACAATGCTGAACCTGCCTAGTAGCGTCCTTGTTCCTAGTAGCGATGCCAGGAGCCCCTAGTAGCATCCTTGCTCCTAGTAG